CCGCGCCGGTGTGGAGTGTCCGCCGCCCGCCGCGCGCCCGTTCGTGCGCGCCTGCCCGCGATCCGCGCCCGCCCCGCGCGCCCCTCTCTCTCCCGCGCGCGCCCCGACGGGCCCCGCCCCGCCCCGCCGCGCGGGGGGATCGGCCCGCACTGGATGCGGCGCATCGGTGCGCTGCGTGCGCGTTAAGCCGCGTGTGGCGCAGCCGAGCGAGCCTCGCGCGGGCACCGGGGCGATCCGGCTCCCAGCCCCGGCCCGGCCTCGCGGGCGCCCTGGGCGCTTCCTTGCCGCCCCGTCCTACCTCGCAGGGCTGGTGCGGGACCAAATGGCGCGAGCGGGGAGACCTGCCGTGCACCCCTGCAGGATGGGCGAGGGATGTCCGTCACGGCAGCGGGTGCAAGCCGCGGGGGCGATGAAGGGGCATGAGAACCCGTCTCCGGCGAGGCCGGTGGGCCGGGCTGGGTCTCGGGGGAGCCGGCAAAGAGCCCCCCCTCGGCCTCCAAGCTCCCAGGGTGGCCGTGGGCCAGTCCCAGCCTAGCCCATCGCGCAGGATAGCGGGAGGATTACGTAACCAGCCTTGCGGGGGGGGGGGGGAAGCGGCATATAAATATAATAAATGTACCATGGAGATAAAGCCTGATACGGCCCAATATGGTGAATTGGGTTCTTCTTGCTTTTCTACTTGGATATGCTTTTCCTTGCCATTGAAGAATGGAACAATCCTCACGCGACAGCGCTAACTGTATTCTGTATTTCGTATGCATTTAAACATGCGCATCTTTCCATCACGCTTTTGTGAACTTCTCCACCTGAGGGTCTGGTACGGCAGAGGAGGCTCTCAGTGGCTCCCAGCCTTGCTGGCTATGAGCCGGCTCCTTCACCAGGGCCGGCCTGCTGGCAAGCATCGATCGATCGCTGAGGGTCCTGGGAAGGAGGAGGTCTCGCACCTGTCCTGCTGGGGGGGAGGGTCCCGTGGCCAGCTGGTTTGCCACCAAGTGGACAGGGTGCTGGACTGGATGGAGCTTGGGTCTGCTCCAGCGGGGCTTTTCTGATATTCTTAGAAGGATGGGAATGTAATTAAGGTGTCTGGCCTCTATGCCTGTGAATTCCTGGTGTTTGAGCATGTCAGGAAAATGGGTGGCGGGGAGGTCGCCGATAGCACACTCCTCCATGTGGCTCCATTTCAGCGTAATGCTGCGCACTTCCGAGTGAGCATGTTTAGGGTCACGTCCTTGGTCTTCCCCCGTGTTGGGGGTCTCTTCCGCAAGGGGTTTTGGCCCCTCGCCACCCTCGTCACCAGAGGCTCTTTCCCTCTCTTACGACTTGCGTGCTCGAAGGGCAGAGGGAGGGAGCAGGTGGCAGCCTCTTCTGTGCCCCTCGCCACCATCAGCGTCGCCTCGGCCGGAGAAGAGCGTGCCGAATGAGCAGGCTGCCCTGCAAAGAGGAGGAGCGTCCGTTGTCAGTTGGCCCTGCTTGGGGGGCTTGGTCTGGTCCTGAGCCGGCCTGAGCCCCCCCGGTCTGTTCCGCGATGCTTTACTCCGCAGCTGTCGCCTTCTTTCTCCGCAGATACCATTCTTACGGTCTCTGGCAGGGTTCATGTTGCTTCCAGGCAGAAACAACGCCACCCTGCAAGCGTTTGGCTCTGGTTCCCGCGAAATGCGCATCGGAGGCGTGTTGTGGGTGGTCTTGGGTCCCTGTCTCCCTCTCACCTGAGCAGCGTCCGT